GGGGCCGGCGCTCCCCCCCACCCCCTCCCTCCGAGTGCCGCGTGCCCGGTGCTCCCTCCGCCAAGCGCTCTCCCCCCGCAAGCGCCCGTGTGCCATGTGCCCGGGGCCAGGCCAGCCCCGAACACCTGGCGGGCGCATTGAAATGCCCCCGCGGGCGCCATGGTGCCCGCGGGCACCGTGTTGGGGACCACGGGACTAGATGATCATGATGGTCCCTTCTGAGTCTAAAAACAAGATAGTCCTCTGCAGCTCAGGCCTGACCTGCCTGGGATGATTAACACCTAAAAGAAGGCCTCATTGCTTGAAAGATAGAATTAGAAAGAGCATAACGGAAAAGCACCCACCTCTTACAAACACCCATTGGTTGAGTGTTTGTGTCTGCAGTCCAAAAATATTTGATATAATGTAATAAAAATGCAATGAGATGTGAAAATGTATGTAAAGGGAGAGGGTTTCTGTGTAATTTTGGAGCTGTGATTTACCCTGCATCCCTGTCTTTGAATCTAATCAACTCAGCTTAGTGTTGCTATATGACAAATAAAGGAAACCTGAATGAAAAATCTGGAGTCAAGCTAAGTGTTTTACATCGCAGAGAACTGTGCTTTCAGAACTGGACATGGGGTTCTGGATAAGCTGAGCAGAAAAGGTCTTGGAGGGAATTGATACATCCTGAAGTACGCAGGTTTTGAGGAGACATTTGTAGGTTATGGAACTGAAGATAGTATGCCAATGTATCAATCTGGGGCTACTGTGTATTTCTGAACACCTATTCAATTTAGAATGATTTTGAGGACTTATGGGAGGACTAATTTAACATCTAAACTTTGAATGGATAGAAAAAAACATTTTCAAAGAAAAATGTATTTGCAAGAAACTGAACTTAACTATGTTTCATGATGTTTGTCTCTGGGCATTTGTTACTAGCATCAAGGACTTCAAGTTATTTTTCTTGTAATTTCATTTTAAAAGTATACATTAAATAAAACAATACATGTGTGACTGCTGGAGTGAGGAAGAAGTAACATATTTAACAACCTATTCTGCAGCACAGACTTTTAATTTTTAAATGTTCTTTAAATTATAACAGATATTTTTACTACGATGGAAGTTGTTGAATATCAGAGTTCAGTCACAAAAGACCAGGAATAACTCCAAACACTGAAAAAAAAATTGCCAGACTATATACTCTAGTTGATGAAAACCTGTGCAGGAAAGAAGAAATCCACAATATTGCTTAGAATAATACTCATTAAATCTGAATCATGTATCTTACCATTGCAATATTATATTCTACACCTAGGAAAATGTCTTATCACAAGGTCAAAAGCTCAATAAAATGTGCTTTTTTTTTACAGTGTAACCCACTTTAATAATGTATGTTTTTTGCTAAGGCTGTGTGACACGTGGTGAAAAACCATCATGATTTTATGTTTTTGTCCTAATGCAGATCAGTCCACTGAGGCCACAAAGACCAAAAAGTCAAGTTATCAGTGTCATTGCAAGTGAAAGACGTTTTTCTGTTTCCCCGTCACCTCCAGCTTCTCAGTCAACACCACCTCCAGTCACTCCAAGGACCAAACTTTCTTTCAGTTTACAGTCTAGTAAGTTTTTTAATGAAACTTTATTTTCCTAAAATGTTTTGTTTAGAATTAATTACATTTCATCTCCATTAATCTGAAATGCTTCGGAACCAACTGAACCATATAGACCATCAAGAGGATAATCCAGTTGTACATTCACATTGTGAGACATAAGAGCATTTTTGGGAGTTAACAGAGATGTGGTTGTTTAAGCTATATGATTACAGACAATTTCAATGACCTGATTACTTGGTAATGTTTATGTTTGTTATACATATTTTAATATAAGAATTAATTTAAAATTATGGAAATATTGTTAACTGACTCTCTCTCTCGTGACTATATTTGTCACATGTCATAGAATCATAGAACTGGAAGGGACCTCAAGAGATCATTGAATCCAGTCCCCTGCCCTCACGGCGGGACCAATCACTGTCTAGATCATAGGTTACCAGACTGGGGGGCATGCCCCACTGGGCAGGAGCAGCCTTAGACGAGCTGCCGGCAACTGGCGCCCTAGGTGAAACACGCGACCAGCGCCCCCGCCTCCAAAGCCCTCAACAGCCGTTTATCTTGGTGCCCTATGTGACTGCCTAGTTTGCCTATATTGATGGGCCGCCACTGCCCCTGGGGGGGCATGAAGAAATTCCAGGGAGGGCGGAAGGTGACCAAACGTCCCCTCCCCCACCAAGAATGAGCCTGGTCTGTTCAGTAAAAAAAATTCAGAAAATACCAGACGTGTTTTCCTGGCTTGGGCGTCCGCTGAAACATGCGCAGCTTGAGTCTGGTCAGTTCCTTTTTTTTCTCGACAAGTTTTGCTGCTATTTTTTTGGAGGGAGATGGGGGGACGGCGTGAGGGTTTCTCAAAAATCAAAAAGGGGGCATAATGCCAAAAAGTTTGGGAACCACTGGTCTAGATCATCCCTGATGGATTTCTATCCAACCTGCTCTTAAATATCTCCAGTGATAGGGATTACACTACCTCCTTAGGCAATTTATTCCAGTGTTTAACCACTCTGACAGTTAGGAAGCTTTTCCTAATGCCCAACATAAACCTCTCTTGCTTCTTGTCCTATCCTCAGAGGCCAAGGAGAACAATTTTGTTAGGGAAAGTAGTGATAGACGTGAATTAGCATACTAAAATAGATAAAAGGGTATAACTGTTGCCAATTTGTTGCCGCTCGGATGTTGTGTTGAATGTCTGAAATAAATGTGCGTGGGCAATAAAGCTGTTCCCTCTACCCCATCCACTCCTGGGTTGTCTATTTCTTCACTAAAACACACCTGTTAATGTACCCCAGGATCATGTTTGGGTTTTTTGCAACAGTGTTACACTGTTGACACATGTTTACCTTGTGGTCCACTATGACCCCTACAGTCCTTTCTGCAATACTCCTTCCTAGACAGTTGCTTCCCATTCTGTATGTGTAAAATTGTTTGTTCCTTCCTAAGTGGAGTACTTTGCATTCGTCCTTATTAAGCTTCATCCTATTTACCTCAGGCTATTTCTCTAGTTCATCCAGAACATTTTGAATTATGACCCTATCCTCCAAAGCTGCAACCTCTCCCAGCTTGGTATCATCTGCATACTTAATAATCATACTTTCTATGCCATCATCTAAATCATTGATGAAGATAGGCTCCTACCTCTTTGTGCACCCAAATCTCTCTGGGTATGTCTACACTACCACCCTAGGGTGGTAATGTAGGCAACCGGAGTTGCAAATGAAGCCCGGGATTTGAATTTCCCGGGCTTCATTTGCATATTGCCGGGCGCCGCCATTTTTAAATGTCCGCTAGTGTGGACTCCGTGCTGCGCAGCTACACACAGCACGAACTAGGTAGTTCGGATTAGGCTTCCTATTCTGAACTACCATTACACCTCGTGGAAATTCAAATCCCGGGCTTCATTTGCAACTCCGGTTGCCTACATTACCACCCTAGGGTGGTAGTGTAGACATACCCAGAGAGATTTGGGTGCACAAAGAGGTAGGAGCCTATCTTCATCAATGATTTAGGAGTATTAAGTTCACTGACTGAATTCTTGATTACTTTCATTTAATACCATCTTCTCTACCTCTATGTACATAGGACAAAAATACCACTTTTTTTCCCCTAACAAGACACTTTAGACCCTAATCCTGCAAAGCATTTCAGGTGATTTGTAAGTATTACTGTGAAATATTTCGTCAACACAGTTTGACAAAGATTCTCACCAGCGTGCCCTGAATTCTCTCTGTGTGTCTTACTGGCACTGACCATAAGTTGTAGCTTGCAAATAAACCTTTAGCTTGTGCTGTGGTACACTTTTTGTGTTTCTCAAGTGACAAAAACTATTTTTGACTTTTTACTAAACCAAGAAAAACTGCTTCAAGAAATAATTTTCTGCTCTTTTTTAAAAAGATTTTTTTAATATTTTTTAAAGTGCCTGAAGATTCATGCTGTGTTGGCTTCTGCAGAATGCAAAAGTTGTGGAGCATGATATGGACTTTTCTTTTGTGTGAAGTAGATATACACCAGAGATTGGCTTGTGTTTTCCCTGCATTTCTCAATGAATTCTTCTATAAACTTTCATATACTGGCTTCATCACTCTTCAAGAACTCATATTATTTAACTGAATAGAGTATAACTCCCATTTTGTTTACAAAATTAGCTTTCACAAATTGATTTGCAAAGTTTCCAGTTGTAGACACTTAGCTAAAAATCTCACTTGGCACTAAACTAGTAAAGAAACAAAATTTAAGAATTAAGTCCTTTAAAATGAATATGCCTAACTTCTATTACAGTTAGCAAGTATTACAGATCTGGCAAGTCCATGTTTGCTTTCTTTCTTTCTTTTGATATTTAAAGTGCTTTATTTTTAGATAAGCAAAGCGTATTGAAAAGAATGTTGACACACAACAAATGTATAAACCATAATCAGAGACTTCTTTATTCCACATATCCACATCAACAGAATTCGCTCTGTGTAATAGAAGTGTGTTGTAGAATCTTAGTTTGAGAAGGAGGGGGAGGCAGATGGAGGTTTTTTTGTTTGGGGTTTTTTAAGTGTTTCTAGACCTCCTGGTTGGAAAGATACCCTGAAAAAGGTGAACAAGGTGTAAATCAATGCAGAGTGGCCTTCCTGAATTTCTAGCTGGCCTGAAACAATAATTCTGACAGCTTTAAACTGCTCCATTTGGAAACATAACATAATCTAAAATAAACGTCATAAGGACTATAGTGCTAATTGTATATTCATTTTCATATTTAATGAAAACCTCCATTTAAAAAAAGTTATCTGAAGCTATAACAGTTTTTAAAAAATTTTCTCCAGTCTGCTGCAGACTCTAGGGCCTTGCTGCATAATTTAGGACCAGCTTGCTAGAGTATACAGAGCCTTGACCTTAATTATTCAAAGAATTCTAGCTCTAACATTTTTAAAGAATTCTGGAATAATAGATATTTTTTGTGAAGCAAGCTGTCTAAAAGGAGCTAATCTTATATTGAGCAATAAGAATAGTGCTTGTTTCTTGACAGTCTAGGAGAATGTAAAGTACAATTTGATAATCTGCTCCACAGAATCTAAGAAAGTAGAAATGAAAAAGGCTTAAGTCATCTTGTTGATCCCTGCCAGTTGAGAATTGTTCCCAATGGCATATAGTCAATAAAGTTAAGGGATATACAGACAACATTGGATGATTGTCATCTCTGATAAAGTGCCTTACACAACTATAGCAAAAGAAATTATTAGACTTATTTACACTTAAATGATCAGAAATCAAGATGGATTCAGGCTCTTGGGTTCCGAGAAATAGTTGGTATGGGTACATTGTTGTCAGGATATCACAAATAGACATGCAATATTGGGGCATACAGTTCCTCCCTAAATGATATCAGTGAAATTATTTCATTTTGTTTAAATAACTTTTTGCTGCAGTATATGACTTTTGGACATATTTGTGACTGGCCATTCAGGCCAGATCCTTATTTTATAGTGTGTTAATGGTCTGCTAAGTGAAGTGCTGGACTTGGTCCATGGCTAAATATGAACTTTAATTTTAAATGAAAAAGAGAGAGTGTTACAAATACTGCATACATCAAAGTCCTTCACTTTGGAATATATCCTGCTTCTTCTCTATAATTGTGCATTGTTATCTTGCATCTGGGTTTTGACTTTGGGGAGGCTCAGCAAGAGATTCATACACCATGCACAGTGAAAGCTTGGGAACTAAAGGGGGATGGCAGAGTTATCTGAAAGTGGAACAGGAATGTGCCTAGGAGAAAATCAACTATTGTGAAGTTCCAACCGTGGCTGAGGGCCACTAGGAATTGTCAAGGCTATTCCATCTATTAAAATGAAGTAGACTCCACTGGTCTTCATTTCTGCCGCTCCTTTATTTGGGAAAAAGATTCCTTTTCTACATTTTCCATGGATCTCCCCAGTGCCTCACTGAAATGCATGGGCTTAACATGGGGAAGTAGATTTGGCCCTAAAGAAACAGAGAGCAAGTCTTCTCATACTTTGGGCAAATACACTAAAACACTTTCCCAGAAATTCCGGAATACATATAGCTATTAAAAAATGTTAACATCAATGGCATCTGTTTAATTATCATTACATATGTGCTTTATTTACTAAAATAGTTTCATTTTCTACTCAAAGTAAATTTGATATTTAATTGAAAAATTTTTCCTCACCTCTAAGATTTTAGTCTTCTATGACATCACTGAAATTATAAACCATGCTATTTTTATGTTAATCTAAGGGTATATCTAGACAGCAGGGCTATTTCAGGATACCAGAGGTATCTCAAAATAACTACCTCACGTCTTCTAAACGCACACATTATTTTGGCATCCCTGTAACCTTCATTCCATGAGGATTAAGGGATGTGTCAAAATAGCATGTTGTTTCGAAATTTGGCACTGTGTAGGTGTGCCAAATTTCAAAATAAGCTATTTTGAAATACAATCAAAATAAGATACACAATTTGCTTAGTACAGATTGCATACCTTATTTCGAGTTTGGGGTGCTGTGTAGATGCACCCCAAGTTAAAATAAGTATGTGCTTCATTCAGCAAAGTGTTTCTTAAACTTAAATTGTAGGAATATTTTATTTCTGTCTCCTTAACTCAGGGATTCAGATTGTGTCAAATTCATTTTATGTGTCAAATTCCGTTCTCAGTTACAATAACTGAGCTCTGTTACAGTCACTGGAATTTCACCATTGTAACTGACATCAGCTTTTTGACTATTTATCTTCTTGTAGCTTTCAGTAGTTTATCCATAATAGCACACAAGGATTTAATATGTACTATATTATCATTTAATATACTGGAGGGTGACCAGACATCTCATTTTTAAAGGGACTGTCCCATACTTAAGCCCTACTGGAAGTGTCCTGACTTTTTAAGAACATAAGAACGGCCATACTGGGACAGACCAAAGGTCCATTTAGTCCAGTATTCTCTCTTTCAACAGTGGCCAATGCCAGATGCCCTAGAGGGAGCAAACAGAACAAATAATCATTAAGTGCTCCTCTCCTGTCATCCATTTCCAGCCTCTGACAGACTGAGGCCAGGGACAACTCCTTTACACATTCTGACTAATAGGCATTGATGGATCTAACCCCTATGAATTTATCTAGTTCTTTTTTGAACCCTGTTAAAGTCCTAATCTTCACAACATCCTCTGGAAAGCAATTCCATGGGTTGACTGTGTGCTGCATGTAGAAAAATTTCCTTCTGTTTGTTTTAAACCTGATACCTATTCATTTCATTTGGTCACCCCCAAGTTCCTATGTTATGGGAACAATTAAATAACTTTTCCTTATTCACTTTTTCCATACCAGTCATGATTTTATAGACCTCTAGGATATCTCCTCTTAGTCACCTAAGCTCTTTTCTAAGTCCAAGTGTTTTTAATCTCTCTTCATATGAGACCCATTCCAAACCCCTAATCATTTTTGTTGCCCTTTTCTGAACCATTTCCAATGCCAGGATATATTTTTCGAGATGAGGCGACCACATCTGTACGCAGTATTCAAGATGCGGGATTTATATAGTGACTATAAGGAATTCTCTGTCTTATTCTCTCTCCCTTTTTTAATGATTCCAAACATTCTGTTTGCTTTTTTGATTGCTGTTGCACACTGTGTGGATGTTTTCAGAGAACTATCCACAATGACTCCAAGATCTCTCTCTTGAGTGGTTATAGATAAAGTAGTCCCCATCATTTTGTATGTATACTTGGGATTAGGTTTACCAGTGTACATTACTTTACATTTACCTGCATTAAAATTCATTTGCCATTTTGTTCCCCAGTCACCCAGTTTTGTGAGATCCTTTTGAAGCTCTTCAAAGTCTGCTTTGGTCTTAACTATCTTGAACAGTTTAGTATCATCTGCAGATTTTCCCACCTCACTGTTTACCTCTTTCTCCAGGTCATTTATAAATATGTTGAATAGGATTGATCCCCGTTCAAACCTGTGGTGGAGACCACTACTTACCTCTGAAAACCGGTCATTTATTCCTACTTTTTGTTTCCTGTCTTTTAACCAGTCATCAGTCTATGAGAGAACCTTCCTTCTTATCCCATGTGACAACTTACTTTACTTAAGAGCCTTTGGTGAGAGAGCATGTCAAATGCTTTCTGAAAATCTAAGTACACTATATCCACTGGATCCTCCTTGTCAACATGTTTGTTGACCCCCTCAAAGAACTCTAGTAGATTAGTAAGGCATGATTTGACTTTTCCCCAAAAAATTATGTCCATCTATGTGACTGACAATTCTATTACTTATTATAGTTTCAACTAATTTGCCTGGTACTGATGTTAGGCTTACTGGCCTGCAATTGCTAGGATCACCTCTAGAGCCCTTTTTAAATATTGGCATCACATTAGCTATCTTGCAGTCATTAGGTACAGAAGTTGATTTAAAGGATAGGTTACAAATCACAGTTAATAGTTCCACAATTTCACATTTGAGTTCTTTCAGAACTCTTGGGCGAATGCCATCTGGTCCTGGTGATTTGTTACTCTTAAGTTTATCAAAACAGGCAAATTCTCCCATATTTTCTGTCTTTCCTCATCAACCAAAGAAAAAAATCGAAAATTATCAAAATTGCATACGCACGCAAATCTTCTGCCAATGTTCTTCAAATGTTCCATTAAATTGCTATGGGAGTATCATTTTATTTCATTTACTATTTTATTTTATTTTATTAAATGTTGTTATTAAGACGTACTAAATATGAACATTATGGATCTTGATTTTAATCATGAAGAGACAGTCTTTTTTATCAGGACTTTAAATCTCTAAATAGACACACAAGACCGAGCACCTTGAGCAACCTGAGAAGCCTGTTTGGAGGTGTTTTTTGTTTGTTTTGTTTTGTTTTTTTAATGAGCGTGTAATGCTATATTCTCATAAAGTGTTTAAGTGTGTGTAGGCTTTGTAAAAGTGAGTTTGAGGAATTTGTAAGAGGAGTGCCTGCTACTTTAGAACGTGGAAAGGAAAGTAGGGAACAGAATGAAAGGAAGGATGAGAATGAGGGAAAAAGAAATATGGGAGAAGTGAGGCAGGGTTCATTGAGGAGGAAGTAAACAGAAATGAGACTAGTGAAATAGGCAGCCATGGAATGGCTTAGGTCCTTGAAGGAGAAGTTGAGAATGCCATTGGAAGAATTTGAAAGTGATGGATGAGATATATTCTTTTAGCTGATATATCCTGAATAGACTAAATAGAGATGAAATGACAAAAAGATTTCAGAGATAAATCAATGCAACTGCCTTGAAGCTAAAGTTGTACTAATGAAGAAAATAGTAAGTTGGGCCATTTAGAAAAACCAGAAAAGATACACAATGTAAGATAGTGTCAAATATTCTACATTAAAAAAGAATCAGTGTAAGTAAACCCTCCACCTACAAAAAAAAATCAGCCTGTAAGAGAAAATTGTTTCCGCAATTTATAAACAAAATTACATATTATTTAAAAAGGGCCTTACTAGTGCTCAGTCCTGAGGAAAAGCTCTTGCTTAAATCAGTGGAAGATTTGCCTGTGGAAGAATAGCTAAATAAGTTCATGAGAGTGAAATTTATCCGTTACGAGGACCAGCATCAAATTTATATGCCACTTAGGCCTTCAAAACAAGACTTCAATGGAAATTAAATGTTGCATAGACCTAGTTCTAGTCTTCTTCACAGGAATAAATTTCACCCTGTTAATGATTGTTCCCTACCTTCTGTGAGTAAATTAAAAAAAAAAGTCTGTTGTACATTCTCTTGGTTTCTAATATTAGCTATTTAAGCAACTAATGACTCCTCATTTAATATAATAATGTGCTCTGGATTTGGAAAGATATCAACAGATATTTATGGTTAATTACGTATTTCTTCAGTATATTTAATTTTTAAAAGTCTAAATTTCTCAAAGCAGAAAAGTAAATAAAGCTCTGCTATGTTATATTCTGTGTGTTTCTTGGTAAATTACTTGCAGCATCGCAGTTCAGTATGATACAACACATAGAAGCAGAGCTTACAGCTGAGAAATTTTTATTTGTTTTAAATGATCTGTGAATATCAGCGAGTGAAATCTTAGACAGATGATAATGTTCTACAGTTTCCTTTTTTATTAAACACTTAGAGACCTTGTCAGTGTTGATACAGACTGTACACTTAAAACTTGACCTACCCTGACACAATGATCCTCACTTTCATGATTCTAGCAGTTGATTTTTTTAAAAATTTAAAAGCCATTGTTCCATGAGCACCAAATAATTATACAGTCTACAAGATGTAAAGTGGGCAAACAGATGCATGGATACTATTTTTGTCACATCATTAATGCTGGAAAGAAGCATTCTGCATCTCAACTTTGATTTAAGTGATCCAAAGACTTAAAGAAATGTTAATTTTTTTCAGATCTGGAACTGAATGGCGTATCTAGTTTGGAAATGGCAGACATTCCTCCTCCTCTGCCTCTCAAAGGTAGCATGGCAGATTATGGAAATCTCATGGAAAATCAAGAATTAATTAGTCCTACAACACCCCCCACTACACATCAAAGGGTAAGTCTAAGAGGTACAAATGATTTTCTGGTAGTTTATTTGCAACACTATGCTGGCCAAGAATGTAAAGTTCTGTGTTATGCTGGTAACAGACATGTACGCCAATCCAAATGATTTCCACAGTTACAGAACAGTGACTTCATCAGGATATGGAGGCATTGTATGATTCATTCTAAATGACATGTAAGTAAAGTTAGATGCATTCTAAGTCAAGAAAACTAAATATAAAACAAAATACCGTGTTAGAGTTTTTAGCAAGGGGAGTTAAAGCGATAGGATCTAGTTCCAGCAGCAAATTAGTTTTTTTTATAATCTTTCAATTCTATTTCAGGAGAGAAAACAAAGTGTTTTTCGGACAACTTTACATTTTTTAATTCTATGTCATTTCCTATATAGTCAAGCACAGTTGCCTCTGAAATATTTTTCATCATGAGCATATTTTTTAGATTTCCCCAAAACCACTAGACTATAGTACAACTATAAAAATATGATTTGCAAAAAAAAATCTTCAGCACTTTTGGGCTTTAAATGTTTAACTTTTTTAGAAATGTGTCCATGTGCAAATTCAGAAGATAGGGGTTCTATTGTGAGAATTTTGCACTGGCTTGCTTAGTGATCTTGGACAATTCAGTTAACTTTTTTGACTCAGTTTCTTCATCTTTACATTGGGGATCGTAATACCATGCTTCATTGGGACGGTCTGAGGTTTTACACATTTTTATAGCCCTTTATTTTACTGTGTTTTGCCAAAATGTACAGATCCCTAACAACCAATTTCTGAGGGAGCTGAGGATTTGAACACTACCTGAAAAGTTAATCAAAAATATATTCTAAATCCTTAGATAATAAGCTCTTGAAGTGTTATACAATGAGTATTTGGCTCTTTATCTAGACTTCATTTACCAGATTCTTTGCTCTTGAAGAGTTTATGAATAGTGACAACGTCTGTGAGGTGGATCTGAAAACAGATTTGACACAAAGATGGAGGGATTATATTTCATAGAATTTAAGAAAGGCTTCCAATTTTATAGCAATGATTGCATTTATTTCACTTTGTACTTGGACCCCAGTGAGATTATCAAAAGCATAATGTGAAGACTAGTGCAGGGCATGAAAAAGATCAATCAGGTATGCTCTTAGCACTTTTATGTCTGAACCCCCACAATGTGTGGTTACAGTCTATGGTATTTCATAAATGGAACGACTAACTTTCTTGATTAGCTTTGTAATAAATTTGCTAGTTTTAAATTATCTATTCTTAGCATCAATAAGAACAAACCATTGAAAAGTTCTGTAGATAATCTTATCCCGATTGCTTTAAAATGACATTACAGAATGGGAAAGCTCTCCCTGTATTAGACTGAAATACTGGCTCAATACTATTTGCCTTGAAGTCAGACAGGTAAAAAAAGCTTCAGTGAACAGAAAAAGGTACATGGACAAATGTATCAAGAAATGGCCATATCATTCTGAGTACTTTAGGTCTAACAACTATCAATAATTATTTATGGACTTAAGTCTTTTTATCCCAATAATCTTCCAACTATAATGTTTTGATTTTTATCTTGTTCATTGTCATTTTTAAAATATTAACTAATAAAGCCATGTGGGTAGATATTCATTCTTGCATTGTGTGATTTGTTCTACTAAAAGAATTCTTAGTAACATACGTGAACATGAAAAAGAATACTAGGACTCTTGCAAGGATTGTTATTACATCAAGGCATTCCTCTAGACTGTTGTGCTCCTTCACAGGCTCGTGTACATCTTCGCATACAAAACCAACTGCCTGCTTAGCATGCATAGTCAAATAGGACACTCAGAGGAGCACTTATATTTATAAATATTGTCTATAATACTTACTATTCACAGGATAATAGTTTTAATGAGAAGTTTTCCATAAATTCAGAAGCAGATACAAAACTTGATAAAGAGTATGGCAAAGAAGGAGCATAATAAAAGAATGAAAACAAACTTGTTGAAGATGATAGTAATATTTATTTTGACTTTTTGAGAGTCTAGTACATGAGGAACATTCAGAGTAGAATTTGAATATAGTGAAGATTGCATGTTGCATATCATCTTGCTTCTCTGAGGTTAAAGTCTCTCTGTGACAGAAAATTATTATTAGAAGGTTTCACTGTGTGTTTTCCTCATTTAGCCACAGAAAAACAGGTGAGATTCAGCTGGAAGCTGAGTTAAATATTAAGGGCAGATTCGCAGTTGATGCAGTTTTGCCATAGCTCCACTAAAGTCAATAAAACTATGACAATATACATCAACCAAGGATCTGATGTAGAACTCTAAATAGCCTGCACTGGCCTATCTGAAAGGTTCTCTTTTTCTCTGTGATTCACTGCATATGATCTGATGCTACATCTCTCTCAGCATAGTGGGCTTCTGGGAGAACAGTCTCTATAATCACTCTGGAGTTCTTCCCTGGCCTGAAATAGCTCAGAATAGCTGACTTTCAGGTTCTGTTTGTCTTGCTTTTGAAAGGAACTAGGGGAAAGTGAAGAACTAGCACACATGTTCTCCTACCTAGTGTATGGCAAAGGAATGCTTGCCTCCAATTTCAGTGCTGTCTATAGCACAGGTTTTCCTTGTAGTGAAGAGCCTTCTATATTTCTCTCTGCCAGACTCTCTTATACTGCAGACTTTCTTCTACCTCTTATATCTGGCACTGACTGCATTAGCCTTCACTGAATTGATGCCAACAACATCATCTACTATCATTGATCCCTTGGTTCTTCTTGCATCTTCCATGCAACCCTCAACAATAGCTCTTGCATTCTGTCTTCCAACCACCTTGTCTGCTTCCCACCTTTAGAGATCTGACCGGTATTGTCAGTACCAAAACTTCCACTAACACTATTTGGAGCTCCTCTTCTATTCACTAGAGCCTGGTCTACTCTAAAGGGGAAAGTCGACATAAGATATGCAACTTCTGCTACATTAATTACAAAATTGGAGTCGAAGTAACTTCACTCGTGTTTTGGTGCCATCCACACAACAGGCAGTCCATGGGAGGCACACATTCCTGTCGACTTCCCTTACTCCTTGTGAAGAGTAGGACTACCAGCACCGATGGAAGCACCCTCTCAGTTTGAATTATCAGGTCTTCATTAGACCCACTAATTCAAACCCCAGAAGATTGACTACAGCAGCGTCAATCTTCTTTGTAGTATAGACAAGCCCTAGGAGAGCTACATCTTCTCCTCATCAGACTCTGACCATGACAGATCTATGTTTCCTCCATGGTCTTTCAGCTTTCCCAAAAGGTTACACTCTACAGATATGCAGACCATGAAACTAGGACTGAATCCTTGCAAAGAGGCTCCAGTACAGCATCTTCAACCATAAAAAGTACAAAGATAGGAATAGCCTCTGGGCCTTAATGAGCATTTTGGATTGTGCTAAGAACATCTAGATCTGCATCAGAATCTCAATGTGGGAGGAGATCACCATATGCTATACCAACTTAGTGCATATATATAACAGTATGCCAGGTTTCACCTCAGATTTCTGTAGGTCTGCCATCACTCAGTATACCTTCCAAGAACATGGTCTCTGACATGCTGATTTGCATACTTCCACAAATACTTCAGTCCCTGGGTTGGTTGGATCCTCTGCACAAATGCAAGTGGGTTCCTTTTTGACTGGAAACAACTGTGACTGTTGTAACAGACATGCCCACTAAAGACTGGGAGTAGTGGTTTATCTGGGTCAACTTCACTGTTAAGCATCAGGCAATTTTACTCTGTATAAATGTGTTAGAGCTTTGAGGTATTGGTTGGGTCTAGAGATCTGCCATCAGGGATCAAGTGGTTCAAGTTCTCACAGACAATACGATAGCTATGTTTTAACTGAACAAGCAGGGAGGCATAAGATAATATCAGCTGTGTCAGCAAGTGATTCATTTGTTGAGCTTTTGTATAAAGAATAATATTTCACTAAAAGCTTTTTGACTTCCAATAGTGAGGAACACTATTGTGGATAATCCTCCTCAGGAACTTTACAGACTCTCTGAGGAGTCAGTAAGAAGAAACAATCTGCAGCAGTTCTTCCAACTGTGGGGATACCTAGTTACAGACCTTGTCTGTATCCAGTGTAAACAATAAGTGCAAGAGATTCTGCTCCAGGGCTGATCACAGTCTGGGTTCCATGATAGATGCTTTTCTCATGTCATGATGGACAGATCTTCTGTATGCATTCCTTCCAATCTTTTCATTCTGAGAATGAATGACAAAACAAGCTTAATTTTTGTAAGGCCTGTCTAGCCAAGAGAGGTTTAGGGTTATAGACCTATATTAATTCTCCATTTGGTCATATTATTCTACTCTGTCCCAAGACCCAGGCATATCTACATTGCAACCCAGTTTCTCCACCTCACAGCCAAAAACCTCACCCGCTTGTTTGAGCAATGAAGCTTCCGAGGTGCCCAGGTCATTTTGATGAACAACAGAAAGTATTCCTGTAAAGCCACATATGCAGTGAAATAGAAAAGGTTTTCAGTCTGGATGGAGTTTCATCATTTATCTGCAGATTATACAGTGATTAGACATATAGTAGACAACTTGCTGTATATGAAATCCTCTGGTCTCTCAGCCAGGTCATTGAGAATCCTCTCTGCCATATACCTTCATTGGATTAATTTTCTATCTTTTTTAATCTGTTGGTTTCCAGGTTTTTTAAGGGCTTTATTAACATGTGCCCTCTTGTGTCCAGTACAGTACCTTAATGGGACCTAAATTTAGTACTGCCCTGCTTAATCAGTGGTACTCTTCTCCCTTTTAAACCTTTGAAAACATCATTTCTGTTGCTATTGTCAATTAAAATGACTTTCTTAGTTGTGATTATCCCTGTGAGGAAAGTCTCAGAGCTTCAGGCACTTTGTGACTGACGGGTCGGCTAACTTTTTCACAAAAACAAGGTCTGTTTCAGACCACATCCTAAGTTTATGTCTAAAATGGTATCAGCAGTGCCCTTGATGAGACAGT